TTCTCCAACAGCTGAAACAGAAAGCTTTTTTTTAAGTTCATAAATTATGATGCCTTGACTGTTGCACAGCTCCAGCCCAACACAGAAAAAAATAATAAAAAACGAGTGTAGAATGAATATTAAAGCAACAAGAGGCTTGAAAAAATCTGCACTTTGCTGGACTGGAATATAAACCCTGAAGGGCCTGAGAGAGAATTCACAAGCAGCAGCAGCAAGCATACTCCTTCGCATGATATTGAAGGCACACATCCAATCAAATGGACACAATTTGCTCGCAGATTAAATCAAAATCCAAAGAGGAATAATTAAATCTCATGGGGTATAGCTTTTACATGCAAAAATGTGGAGTCCATGTTTTCTTTCATCAATCCAACAATAGTATGGAATATACCAAAGAAATGGCCAGATCATTTCCTAGATGATTAAATATTAGGGGCACATTGCTTATTCGGCCAATCACCATGACAACTCTTGCTTGACATTTTTAGTCCCTTTCCCCTTTTTGAAATTCCAGTCTCACAGTTATTTCTTTCGACCACTGGCTACAATGAGACTATTTAACTCTAAGCTTGTGCCACGTGTCAAGGAATTTCACAAGATAAGAAAGTGGACAGATGAGGCCTGCAGGATCATGATGGTGCTTTACATTCAGCACAGTGCTCCTTTCTTTTACAAGCAATTTGTGCATGTGATTTCTATAGTTTTCACAGGAATCCAGAAAGAGAACTGAATGTTTACTACATTACTACACATTTAGCAGAGTTATGGAAGAAGTCTTAAAAAAGAATGCCATCAAGTAATGGAAAGAAACTACCATGTCAGAAAGAATTATTCTTAAAAGAATTATTATTAAAATATTTTCTTTTGAGTTCACCCTTTTTGTCACTGAATGACAAAAAAGACCCTCAAAAACATAAAAACTCTCATTACAACGAGCAGATCATTTATTCACCCATAAACCTTCAGTCAATTCATGAGCAAACCTTAAAAGAACTGTAGAACAGGAATCCCCACATATGCCTGTGGCAGACTATCCTGCTCCTCGCCACCTCCTATCCAAGCTGATGGATACTGCTTGCTCCAAACTGGTGGCAGATCCCACTCGCATTAAATAAATAAATACATCTCAGATCTGATGTCATCCTGGCTGATTTGATTCAGTCCTTCTTCGTTTCATTTCCATTCAACTTTAAAGCTTTGAATTGAATTTGCCCAAAAGCAAGTCGGCGTGCTATTTTCTTTTTGTTGCACGGAGAGCGATGGGGGGAGAGAGAGAGCCTGCGCATCACCGCTCCATCACGCACACAGCGTCTTTATGCTCAAGTAACAAGTGACCTGAAAATGTTATGACGGGCATTTTCTTTTCTGCATGCACGTTGGCAGTTGTGCTACATGTGCCAGTGTGCGTGAAAGAGCCACACAGTTAACCCTGCATCCAAACCTCTGAAAAGACTCGGGGTTGTCCGTTCAAGTCAGACAATCCAAATGCGTTATGGAAGTAGTCTATACGTGCTTCATGACGGTTTATATGGCTGCGTTGATGTAACTTCACAAAACACTGGCTATCTACAGAAATGAAAGTCTTATCATTTCTCCTAAGTAACTCGCCGCGTAGACAGCCTTAAGATTTTCCCTCAAGATGCTCATCAAGTATCATGAAATGACTCACCTGCCCTGCCGAGATGTAATTCCCCCCATGCCTTGTTTTCCTGAAAATTAAAAGCCGGGACAGTGTTTCGCTGTGCCGAGGTCTTCACTTGCAGTCGGGTATGTACTCCAAATATCCGAATAGTCTGCGTACTGCTTATGTTCTTGGGGAATGACCTTCCTGTGAAGCGACAGGGGCTCTCGTTATCCTCACTTCGCTGTCATTTCACTGGATTGCTCCCATGTTATTTGTTTTCCAGCGGAAAGCTCTCCTCCCAGCCCTGATGCGTTTTAATGCTTTTGCCTTGACTCTTGGCTCAACACGAGCTTCGCGGGAACGCGCGGCGCGACCCCGACCGGGTGTTCGGGAGCGACGACTGGAGATGAGAAGAGAGTTACTAGGTAACCAAGGGCACACGCATCATACATGAGGAGTAGAGGATTTACTGTTTGCTCTACCCCTCTGCTATGCCTTCGTTGACAGTCCATGACTTTTCATCCTGATGGACTGTACTTATTGTGTCTCACAACAACAACAACATCATCATACAAAACCTTCATCATTCTTCCTATAGGGTTAGTAATGTCTGTCTTTTAGGGAACCTCAGTTTTTGTGTTTGCATTTCCTGGGAATATCCCCTGAAATCAAGAATAAATGACACTAAAGATAAGCTATATCAGGACAGATAGTATCAATTTTATTAGGCTGGATACAATGAATCTTCATGGACATCTTCAAAAAATGTAAATAAATAAAAGGTTTCCCTGATGGGATACATGCAAGGAACAGTGAACCTAGCATCAGCAGAATAAAGACTCATAAGTACATCTGAGAGGAATATGAACTGTGAGGCATCCTAGTTTACATCAGCATTGCCCCCTCACAAAGTTAGGGGGCTTGTGAGAGACAGATCAGAAAAAGATTGATCACAATCAAAGAGGCCAGGATATTGTGATTTTTAGTCCCTAGTATGGGTGAAGCTCCAAAAACACTTGAGTCCTAAATTTCCCATAATAAGAACTTGACTCCATTGTTGTTGGTCTGCAGGGTAAATGTCCACGCCCAGTTTGAAATGCAGGCTTTCCTTCAACTCTGCATCACTGTAACATAATCAGAGTGATCTTTGAAGACTTGACAAAGCAGACTTACACAACTGTTTTCCCAGTGAGCACTCCTCATTATGATTACCTGTTCTCCATGTGTTAAAACTGGTGGATCTTTAATGTCAAACTGATTCAATACATTAAAGGGGGATTACACATCCGCCTGTGAGGGATAATTAGGATTTTCAAACATTTAGTAAAATATTACCACCTTTTATATTTCATTTTTAAACAGTCTTAGTGCATTTTATACAGAATAAATGATGGTATTATGCAGCGTGTGCACCTGTGTAAATTTTACATTACAGGCACTGGGCTTCATTTTAATGATGTATGAAAAGGAGCATCATGCTTTGCAAAAGAGAAAACCAAACACCTTCAGCCCACTTCGTTCTAGCTCAGAATTTCAAGTCAAGTGAGTTTCATCTATGTGACTAAATCACACCTGGTTGTGTGGCCTCAGAGAACAATACAATCTGTACAATACATGAAATCCTCTGTCCTTTGGGCCCTAGATTCTGATATACCATACTATAAACAGAAAAAGAGAGAACAGCTGTCAAATATTTGTGAATATAGGTCCTTGAAACCACAGTGCATTATGGAAATACGTCATCCATCCATCAATCCAATATCTATACCGTTTAACCTGTAGAGAGTCAGGGAGGAGCTGGAGCCAATCCCAGCCGACCCTGGCTGAGAGACATGGTACACCCTGGTCAGGTCGCCAGTCTATATTATGGAAATACTCCTGGAAAAGAAAAGTAACATTTTTATGATACAACGGTTGTCTTAGACCTGTAGGTCTGCTCCCTGTATTGACATTTTTAAATCTTCTCCTTGGCCTTTAAATCCAATTGAGATCAATACAGTATCATCAGTACTTTGTCTTTGTATCATTCTTCTATTGGTATGTCTTTTTTTCTGTTCAATGATAGTGCAGCGACAATTTCTTTGTAAATGCCCTCTATATAAGGTTGATAACAGTTTAGTTGTGAATTAGCGGCCTTTTAATTTTCCTGCAGCATTAGACAAACTTCAAGATCAGACTCTTTATGCCACATGGTCAGGTTTAATGCAAATAACTAAAATGCTTTAATATTCAAACACAGAATTAAACCACCAAACTCTCTAAAACATATACTAAAGAAAATAAGTAATAATACGTGACTAGTGCAGGTCCACTATAAAGTGATATTGTAATTTAAAGTAGCAGTCACAGCTATCATGCACGTACAGCTGCCACTCGCACCCATTTTAAGTGCTAATCACTGAAAACAAATGCAATGTTTGGAACACAAACCAGCATCCACACACTGTATGACTGTTAATGGCACTCTGTGTAGAGATCGCTTACAGTACTTAAAACTCTCCAGTTAACAAGAGTCACAGCTGTAGAGCAAGGGGTTGATGCTAGAGCTGCAATTTTTTTTATATACTCATACAGCGGAAAATCTATCATAAAGAAGGCAGAAAAGATGATACAGTAGTTTCAGAAGGGGTCAATGATGAGTATAGATACAACATTATCTTCACACCAGCTACCGCACATCCAGCTAGTTCACATTCAGTTGATAGCCGCACATACTGTACAAAGCAAACAAAAATCTGGAAGGATATCTAAAAGCGGCCTTAGCCTAATGCCAAATATTGACATGCACGGAAGCAACACATGGGTTGTGTTGGATTTGTACAGGCGAGTCATTCATATAATTTTTCTCTCAAGGAGAGTGTCAACTCAGTCACAAACAGATGAATGTCATGCCTGAGGCGACTGAATAGGTTAGTTCAAAAGCATGCTGAAGAATAATAGTTATGCCTCAGCTGTGTAGGAGTCAGTGCGAGCGTGATGGCACGCCATTCACTGTCTCACAACCTTTCTCTGACAAGTCTCGGAGTTTTCCAATGTTTTGTAAGTTCAATTTTTCTTAAGATTAAATTTGCAGCGTAACAATATCAAATGTAACAATCACACCTGCAGATCAGAAAGGTGTTCTGTGACAAGTGGGAACAGACATATATGAGTATGAAAATGTTTCTAAAGGTCATGTATAAAAATAGCCTGCTTCAAATTGCTCAAGCAATCAGGGTTCATGCACACTACACCCATGAGGGCAAAATGTTTAAATCAGGTGGACCTGACTGCAAAATACATTTTAGAGTGCATTATCAAATATATTTGAAAGTTATTTTGTTTCTTCATGATTAATGGTAAAAGTGCTCTTCACTTTAAGTGCCTTTATCCCAGGATACTTCACAAACAACAAACCTGTACAAAATAAAAACAAAGCACTTGGAAAATTTAAATGCAACCGTAAACCACTTGTTACCTCAGATCTAAATTGCACATCTTTTCAGTTGTCTCTGGTCAGGTCTTAAAATGGCATGTGTTAAGACTTTAAAAAAAAAGGATGCATGGCAACATAAACCACAAGAAGCATAGAACAGTAGAGAAGCAGAGCACAAAAACTCTGTCAAACAGTCAAGATTAAGAAAAAATGCCAAGCAAGAGAGACAAGAAGGAAGAGATAAATAAAGAAGACAAGTATGGGATGACAACAGTCTACAGAACAGTAAAGAAGACAACTGTCATCCTGGTGACCATGACTGTACATCAATAAAAATAAGTTCAGCTGCACTATAAAGAAATAGTAAAGAATTACACAATACTTGTTCCTTAGATAAATTTTAGGTGTGTACCATCTACCACCCCACAAGCACCCTCAGTTCTTAGATAAGAAAAGTTTATCATGTAAATGTGATATAATCAAGCTTTCAAATTTAGTCTAAACATTTACTCTATCTCCAGTTGTCTCTGCTTCTGCACTGCTTCTGTTACAATGTGTTTATCTGTAACCCAAGTTAATCATACAACTCCTTTAGCTGCTGGGACACGAGTTCCTCAAGAGGATCAACAGTTTATCTTGTTTCATTCAACGCTGCCCTCGAGCTGAAATCTCTGGATTCAAAAGCTGCTAGCTGTCGCGATTGTAATTTCAGTCCAAATGAAGTCAGGCAAGGCAAAGAGACATGAACACGAACACAGACCCCAGGAGAAAAAACACACCACTACAAAATACATCAAAAGTCATCTATTGCACAGAAGAACATTTTGACTGTTTCCTTCCTAATGAACAAAACACTGACTTCAACATCTGTGAAGCACTGTGACCTCTAGATTTGTTTCCTCTTTATTACAGTCTTTGATTAAGACAAAGTGGGCATTACATAATCATCAGCTGTCTAGATAAAAGATTTTCATTTCAAGAAGTCACCCTGTTTGCACGGTGACGGAACACAGGGGCAACAGCTACAGTGAACCGTTGACAAAACGTCAGTGCAATTATATCAGGCTGGTCGACTATCTGCTATTTGTTATAGAAGCATGTTTTATGGTAAGAGTGGGCCTGTTCATCTGACATTTATTACATCTCTGATGAATTATCATGGGAATAAAAGTGATTCCAACGATGTATTTTACAATGCCCAGTGCTCTTAGCTTCTTGTCACTTTAATGTCAGTGCAGGGCCTTCACCCATATCAGAGTCCTGCTTGAATTATGAATATTTTCTAGAGACCTGAAAGTGGGCTTTTCCTGCTGTAAGTATTTCCTCTCTGAGCTTAGCCTGCCTTAACCTGCAGCATAGGTTACCATGGTGACATACCCCGGTTAAAAGTGGGCCATTTTTGTGACACCCAAATAAAACCTGAACCAAAGTTAACCTGCTAATCTTATTCCATTGTGTTTTGCTTTTGCTCCCAATTTCAAACAATTTTGGCATCTCTGTTTTCCTTTGCTTGACTCACAGGGTCGCTGTTAGGGTACGCTTGTTATTATGTTGTATTTATAGGCCTGTGGGGAGTGTATGCTAATCTAGCAATGGAGTTCATTGTTTTAAGCTCAGCCTTGTGCCTGGGTCTTGTGACAGCTGTGGCTTTCAATAAACCGTTTACTTTGCAACATCTGCGTCTCTCTCTCTCTCTGGCTCTCTGTGCTGGTGTCCTCACTTTACATTCCTGACAATCTGTTGGTAATAATGACATGTTTGTCTTGGTACGACTGGAAAATTCTTAATATTTCATGTACAACAATTCAAAAAGAAAGTGGCAGCCTCAGGTGTTTCTCTGGTTTCAATTCTGTGAACGGGCCCTTTTTCTCAGAAGCTTGCAATTTACTCCGCTTGTAATAAATTTTACATCTTTCTCTTGTGTGGAATGATGAACATG